AGAAGTGCTTCTCGCGCGAGGGCAAGCTCTACTGCAAAAATGACTTCTTCAGGTAAGAGGCCGCGGCTCCTTGCTGCCCGCTCGTCCGCCCCGCGCGCTCCGTGGGGGCACCGGGGAAGGGGAGACCATGAAACCCATCCCAGCCGCCCAGGCTCACCAGCTTAAATGGGGATCTGGGGAGCCCGTCGCTTTCTTCCTGTCTTCAATCCGGTCGGAGAAGGGCCCCAGCCCCGGGCAGAATGAGAAGGACACTGCTTGCCTGCTTCCCACTGGCTTTTCCAGGCCGGCTTGGAGCGGTGCTGGGGCAAGGGAAGAAGCCTGACAAACTTGCTCCCACTCGCTTCTGCCTCTTCCTAGCTGAGGACTCCGCAGGGTCAAAGCTTCTAGCTCGGTTCTGGGAGAGGAAGGATTTTTCCCAAGTTAGGGGCAACTGAGGGCTCATCACCCATCATGCAGAGTTTGTGAGTCCAGAGGCTGGCCTCCTGGACAAACAGAAACTTCCCAGCTCCAGAGGGGGCTCGGCCAGGAAGGTCTCCCTCTGGTGATGCGGGAAGGAGCCATCTCCTCGTCACCCACCCCCCATCAACTCCTTAGACATGTCCTCCCCTGCTGAAAGTACAAACGAAATCAAAACTGGAATCAGGACCTCCGAGGTCTAGCCTGGGTCATGTCACCTCCCTTTGCTGCCCATGGGGGCCTTCAGGCAGGTCAGAGCAGATCACTTCTCTGGGCCTCAGTTTCCCCAGCTGAGAAATGTTGAGAGTTGGCCTGAAAGGCTGCGGGGTTTTGGGCAGCTCAGCCCGGCCTGCTTCCCCCGGTGCCCAGAGCCAGCTTTGTGAGTGCGAATTCTGGGCGCGGAGGGAAGGGGGCGTGATTAACGCCACGATGGAGAAAGGCTGCTTGCTGGCCCCAGTGACTGGCACTAGGGAATTTGAATAGAAGAAAATGTCAGATGCGCCTTTACACGTGTAAACTCCCCGGCCCCAGAGGCCCAAGGCCCCTAATGTGGCAGTGCTTGCAAAGCACCTAATGATTTTTGATAAGGTGCATATGGCCAATTACGCTGCCGGATAAGGCCAAAAGTGACTTATGGCTTCTAATGCCCTCACTACATCAACGTCACCCAAATTCGCCCTGTTTAGAGATGTGGGTGTGAGTAGATGCAGGGCCCCAAAGTCCTGGGCCCTCATCCTCCCCCAACCTGAGCCTCACTCCTCCCAGCGCCGGTCTGCACCACCCATTTCGGGGCAGGCCGGCCTTCTCCCAGAGCTCAAGGAAGAAAGAAAAGGATTTAGACCAGGAACGCAGGAAAGGGGGGATGGGAGAGATCCCGCATTATGGCCGTGCAGGTTTAGGATTGCCTTCTGGTCACAGTCTCCCACTGCCTGCCAGGACCTGAGATTTGGGGAACTGGAGATTCAGTCCCTGCTCTCCGGACTTGCTCCAGTGGGGCCCAGAGCAAGGACTGGAAAGTCTACGGTGCTGGTGATGCTGGGAATGAGTGGAAGCTTCCCTCTTTCCAGCTCAGGTTCAGCTCAGGAAAGGAGCTCCCCACCCCAAGGGTAGGGCCCACCAGCCAGACCGATGGGCCCTACTTGGAGGACCCCAGTAGACTAGAAAGGATCCAGGAGGCAAAGTCAAGAATTGGTCCAAACCCAGCCTGTCTGCCTTAAAATCCTCAAGACTAGAGAGCAGAATTAGCCTCCAGCAGCCCAGGCAGATCTGGAAAGGATGTGGGGCAGGGGAGGGGCACAACTTGGGGTGCTCTGGGCCCTCTGCTAGGATGAAGGCTGCACCTATTTCTGGGGGCCCAGCAGAATCCAAGTACACCTGACTGAGGCATGATAGTTCCAGTTCCAAGAACAGCCCAGGGCATTTGTCTCATCTCTTGCACTGCGGCCAGGGAGGATAGGACTGGGACCTCATCTGACAGATGTGGACATGGAGGCTTCTCAAAAGCTAGGGCAGGGTGGGGGAAGAGGGAAGAGGTCAGGGGTTCCAGAGGATGGGACACTGGGCTGGCCCCAGGTGACAGGCCGGGTTGTGTCTGCAGGCGCTTTGGTACTAAGTGTGCGGGCTGTGCGCAAGGCATCTCGCCCAGCGACCTGGTGCGCAAGGCCCGCAGCAAAGTCTTCCACCTCAACTGCTTCACCTGCATGGTCTGCAACAAGCAGCTGTCCACAGGCGAGGAGCTCTACGTCATCGACGAGAACAAGTTCGTGTGCAAGGACGACTACCTGAGCTCATCCAGCCTCAAAGAGGGCAGTCTCAACTCAGGTAGGAGGCCCCCGCCCGCCCCACCCCAACCCAGGCCCCAGTGCCTTCCCTCCGCGGCCAGCCTGCACTCCCTACTTTGTCCCTGTGTGCCTTAGGTGCCAGGCTCAGAGCTCACTCCCTCTGGGCAGGTCAAGGCTAATGGAGGGCCCCGGGCTTGGGAAGTGAGTCAGCATTCGGAGCCAGCCTTCCAGGAGACCCACACTGCCAGCTCTTCCTCGCCCTCCTCCAATTCAAGAGCCTTTTCCAAGTTGCCCTCCTCCCCTAGTATGGAGCCGCACATTTTCCCCTTTCTGAGTCTGATCATTTCTAGCTGCACTGGGAGGACACTAATTGGGGTCTGGAGGAAGGAGAGAAGGGAGAAGAAGATTCCAGGCCTGGAGGGCATCTGCACCCTCCTCCCAGCCACCCTCCGAGAAGGCCGGGCTCTCCAGAGAGCGTGCCTCCCCCTTTCCCAAGCAAAAGCTGGAAAGTGCTGAGAGGGCTTGAGAAGGGCCCCTCCAAAGGCCTGGCCCCTCCTGGAGGCCCGGCCCCTAGGGGAGGGGCTGTCACTGGGTTTGGGAGGGAACCCCGCCAGGTTGGTGGCCGCCTGGGCCCACAGAAAGGACCCTGCTACGGGACTGGAGAGGTCTCAGGCCGCTGCTGATGCCCTGTCCCCTTCCCGCTCCGTCCCCCTCGCAGTGTCATCCTGTACGGACCGCAGTTTGTCCCCGGACCTCCAGGACCCACTCCAGGACGACCCCAAGGAAACGGACAACTCGACGTCGTCGGACAAGGAGACAGCCAACAACGAGAACGAGGAGCAGAACTCGGGCACGAAGCGGCGCGGCCCGCGCACCACCATCAAAGCCAAGCAGCTGGAGACGCTCAAGGCCGCCTTCGCCGCCACGCCCAAGCCCACGCGCCACATCCGCGAGCAGTTGGCACAGGAGACCGGCCTCAACATGCGCGTCATCCAGGTGCGGCCCGGCCCGGGTCACCCCTCCCCAGCCCCGCTGCGCCCGGGCAGCCAGGAAGCGGAGGAGTCTCCCACCCAGCCTCGTTTGCTAAGAGAGCGCCGAGTTCGGGTCTAGGGGCAGACGGTGCGCCCGAGGTCGGGGCCAGCTGGTTAAACTCTTAGCCGAAAGACTCAGCCTAGCCCTGCTGTCCTCCTGGCGGTGTCACCTTGGGCGGGTCACTTCACCACTCTGAATCCCACCCCGCGCCATTCAAGGAGGGTTTTAAGCCCCGCTGGAGTGCAGGACCTTCCCCTTGTCCCCATCCTCCGAGCAGAGAAAGAGGGGATATTCTTCGCGTGCCCCCTCCCTGCGCGGATGCGCGGGTAGACAGACAAACGGCCAGAGTCCGGCCGCGGAGCCGAGGGGCCGAGACGGCAGCCATGCCGGGCGGGAGGCCTTTATAAAGCCGTCAGACCGCGGACGGGCCAAGGACTAGGAAGCCCAAGTCTTTATGAGTCGCCCCACGGGTCCGCGAAATCCTTCACCCTTGGCTGGTTCGCCGAGGCCCCTCTCCACCCCTCCGGCCTAATCCGGCCCGGCCCCCCTGCTCAGGGCAGCCTTGGTGCAGAGGAGGCGCTAGGACCCAGCGGGGGCAGTCGGGGCAAGGAGAGAAGGGCACCCCGAACCGAGCTCACAGCACCCTCCTGTGTCTCAGGTGTGGTTCCAGAACCGACGGTCCAAAGAACGCCGGATGAAACAGCTGAGCGCACTGGGCGCCCGGAGACACGCCTTCTTCCGGAGTCCGAGGCGCATGCGTCCGCTGGGCGGCCGCTTGGACGAGTCTGAAATGCTGGGGTCCACTCCGTACACCTACTACGGAGGTAAGCACCCCGCGTGTGCACCGGTGCCCCACACCTCGGTAGGTGTACGCCCTTTGGCAGGGCCAGATCTCCACCTTCTCGGCCACTCAGGGACCCCCTTCTACCTATGCAGGACATACACATTCATGAACACACTTTAATAGACACGCATCAACACACAAATACTTACCCACGGATACCTTCTGGACATAAAATCAGACACATGGGTTTATTCACCCATACAGTGGTACCCACAGAGAAGCACTGGGGCAAGCTGTGACACACCCCCGCAGGACACACACTCGAGTTCAGAGACCTCAGGAACACGCGTCTAGACAGATGGTCACACACAACCACACACAGGTATACCGCCCCCCCATACACTGACAGATACACTGACATTCTCACGCATCACACCAAGTCGGGCACACACAAATCCACCTGCACCTCCTCCCAGCCTGACACCCCAGCCTTCCTGCTGCCCTTGCCCAAGGCCTGGTGTACTTGGCACCCGCAGGAAAGCAGGCATTGGAGGGTAGCACCGGCAGTAGGGATGGAGGGGTCAGGACTCATCTGAGGTCGTCCGCTTGCTATCTTCCAAGTCAGCATCTCCTTTTCCACCTGGGGACTGGGGACTGTGCGCACAGCATCTGGCCCTGTTACCCCAGAAGCGGGCAGTTGCTCCAGACAAGGACTCATGCCCGCCCTCCAGCTCCAAGCACACCAGGGTTCTCCGGGGCTAGGCTTGGCGGGGCAAAGATTGAGTCAACACAGTTTTCCACTCTCTGTCTTTGGGGGTGCGAGGGGCTCACTTTGCACAGGCCAATTCCTCTGTTGGTGTCACCTGGCTTAGGCCTGGGTGAACTCTCCTCTTGATCACCTTCCCTTCTTCCTTCTATCCTCTCCCTTCTCCCCACCCTGTTAAGCGAAGGAGCTTTCTCATTTGCACTCAGTGACCTCTCCTGACTCCCCCTCCTCATTGTTTTGAGACTGGGTTGCTCTGGGGCAGTGCAGCACTGACTCACCATCCTACACTTTCCAGACTTGGGGGGTGTCAAGGAAGGGGGGTCAAGGAAGGCACCTCTCCCTTCTGTTTTCAAGTCTCTGAATTTAGGGAGCCCCCAGGAATGCCTCTGCCTGAGATGGACCTGTGTTCTGAGTCACTCAGTGCCTCCCAGCCGGGAGGAGGGGAGCTGGGGCTAGTAGCCTAGTTTGGGGAGAGGCACCTTCTCTTAGAAAAGTCAGCTTGAGGGCAAGGTTGGGGGAGAGGCCAGGAGTGGGTGCCCAGGCGAACCCAGAAGGGAAAGTAAGAGAACCCTACAACCAGCTTTGGTACATCCACAGGCCTGGAAGATTAGATCTTCATGTCGGGTCAGGACCCCCAGAAGTTGTGGACAAAATGTGCTAATGTGCTTTTGGGGAAGAGATTGAGATGGCAGGGCCCAGGCTGGGGGCTACAGACGCCCAGGGCAGCTTGGATGGTGAACTCCACTCACCGACTCTATTCTGCACAAAATCTCCGCCGGGCGGTGCGGAGAGGTTGGTGGGGCGGTACCAGTACGGAATTTTTTCTCCGCCTGGGTAATTAACC